TTTGATTAAAGATGAATGCATTCAGAAGTTTAAAACTATAATTCCATTCAAAATGATAATTGTTTATGCGAATTCGATTAATTCAAGTCCTACAGGCCTCTCGTTCTTATTGGAATTTTTTTATTCATAGACCTACTCTTGCTTTTTCGTTTCAAACTATTCATGTTAACGATCTTCTTCGCAAAATTATCGCAGGAACTTGTAAATATAATCTAGAATACATGTTATAGACGTTGAATACGCAAAAAATCATTTTATAGCTCATCAAACATCATTTGAGATTGTCTTTGAATATTTATGCAATGGCCAAATTATGCCCAAATCGAAATCAGAAAAGTTTTCTTAACTTAGTTTGATCGTTTCTCACTTATAAAAGTAGAATTATTCATGTGAGTGTCAATGAGTTCTCCCATATCTAACACAATTAACCGTGTGTTAATATCAATTTCTAGTGTATTCGCGTCACGCCAGCCAACTTTAAAAGGGAAAGACGTCAACAAAGGTCTTTTATGATATCTGTCAAATTTTGACGTCTTTGAGCCAAGGCTTTGCTGCTATCTGGAATACGAATGACGGAATGGCGTGTAAGGTCGAAGTTCTATCCGAACCGATCTTGTAGCCAAGTCGAACCTTTTTGATAATTCCCCCAATTTCCATTGATGAATACATCGATAACTCTTGCTTGTCACATCAGAAGATTTTTTACATTGTTGTAATTCTCCTCTAAAAAACACAGGAAAAAATGTCAAAGGAGATGTACTGTATTTATTGTATTGCGAACATGCCCTAATTAATGGGAACTTAAGTAATAGCACCAATAATAACCGCTGTAAAACGCCAGAGGCTTTCTGATGAAAGAATTCTGAAAATGGCAATAATATGCAATTAATGATATTGAAATTTTATTTTCCTTACTTTTAATATTCTAATGATTCTTTTTGGTAATTATAAAGAATTTGGACATGTATGTTCTGCCTGTAATTATACTTCCTTAATTGCTTTTTTTAAAATATTTTTTTTAACTATAATGGGTCAAATCCATAGAGGTCAACCTGATGAAGATCGGCACATAGAGTCGTAGTTTTATCCGGTATCCAGTTTGTCTGGGTGTCCTCCTTTTTTAAGTTAAATAATAAACTACTTGAAACCTTAACGATAGGCGTGAGTAGACCTAATACCTAAAAGTAAAAAATAGAAAAATATGTAAATAAATAAAAATTACAACGCCAAATCAAAAAGGGAAACCGAGCAGAAACGCAACTGTTAAGGTCTAGGATCATTTGAATAAGAATCGGGTCTTTCACCATAGAAATCACTACACCCGTTCCAAAGGAACGTAATGTGACTCTTTAAAGGGACAACATGGTAGAAAAAAGACTTGGAATTACTTTTATCCAACATGAAGTCACTGTTCTATTGTCTCCGAGCCTTTTTCAAACCAGTCCCCTCAAACTACGTGAGATTGTCTACTCAAACTAGAGATATGTCGGTTTGAACAGGCTGGTTCTCGTTAATCCATCCAGTACTATGACGTTATTCTAAATAATTTTCTTGCGTGTATGTATGAGCTATCGTCAGAGCAGTTAGATTATTTGGATTTTTTATCCACTCTCGTCGACGTCAAGCGATTAACTAACCGATATGTTTTTGTTCTAAATGTCTTAATTACAACATAGATAATACTTTTTAACCTTTTTGTTGTCTATAAATCAAACAATATTTTTGCTGGCCTTGTGTCTATATTTGCCATCTTAATAACATTTGATTCTCTTCTTGGAAACTGAGGAGGTGTGGGGAGGCCCAGTATTTTAAAGCCTGTGCTATTTGTGAGTAAAAAGCAGTTCGGTAGCCTGCTTAACATTGTTGGTGCCTGCTAGATATGGTTCCACTACTGATGTCTTCCGTCTTGCTCCAGCCACAGTAGTGGACCGTCCTAAGGCCTTCCTTCGAGCAAGTTTGACTACAAAAGAGTAACTGGCCTATAACTCCCTTATATAATTTCCAATTACACTTACCCCAAACTGTACTGTACATGGCTTAACATATAATAAACAAATTTCCAATGAAATAAAGGTGAAACCTTACCGTATAATTATATGATTTGATTAAATCCAACTGCTATGCGAAATTTCTGTTTATTTTAAAATGGCCACCGAACCAGAATCGCATGATTTCGTGTAACTTTAAAATCCAGAAAAACTGTTCGGTAAGATATGATTAAGATTTTAGTGTTACAATTTTCACTATTTGTAACATAATTACTTATTTCCATGCAAACTGTGATGATATGAGTTGTAAATTTTGCAATTTAACCTATTTTACTTGCTACAAATATTGCAGCTAGGTGCCTGCTAGTGCAGGACGAGTACCCTACGCATAACAATTAACAATAAAGTTAGAATTAAGACAAACACCGTGTTCTCGCTATAATAGTTACGAACAAGATATCGTAACCAGAATATGCTGAAAATTTCAGTCAAATTGCTCCACTCTGAACCGAGATATTAGCTAGCCTTGATCATCATTACTAAAATCGGTACGATAAAAAATATAAAGTCTCGATTATCCATTAATCAATTTAATTATTTTACAAAAATTGTATTCCAATTCGCTAAATATAGAGAGTTGAATATGGTCTGGTTGAGTTAATTAATGTCTAATTAATAATTTAGATAACATTTTAGGCCTAAAGCAAGATCTACATAGGCAGATTTGGCTCTTGCATAATGTATGATTAATTTATTGAATAAAAAGAAATGTTGGGCAAAATATCTGCTAAATGAGGCACCTTAATTGCGGATTAACAAAGGCGTTCTAATAGAAACTGTCAGAAATGTTCATCTTGTGACACCGCTAGTGTTATGCAATAAAAATTAAAATGGGGTATTCCACAAGAGTTAGTTAAATAGACAGTTCTAAGTGCCAAAAACACCCCGTTCTGCCATGCACCGACAGATAGAGGACTATCTTGTTTTCTTCGAGTGGAATGCATGGAATGAGAATGTTAAAGTCTGCTTTATAAATAATTATTCTTTAACTGATTACAATCCAAAATACATGTATAGCTGTTTGGAATTTTGAAAGATTTAGAAGAGAGGTATTTTCAAAAATTAGTTCTATATCCTACTTTTGTTGCTTTTTGTTGATTTATTGGGTTTTAGCCTTTTGTAAACGGTTGTGAGCCTATAGCTTACACATGATAAACACATGTCTTATAATTTGTCACTTCTTCTTAAATCTTCCATTTATCATATAGTTAACTCATTATCTCTACTCTTCATATTATCATTCCTGACTTGGTGTAGTGGATGGCGGTGAGAAGAAATGTCCATTCAATCCCAAAGCTCGTCTGTCGACAGACGTCTGAACCGTGACATCGAGTGCAACAGAAACAACAAAAATGTCAATAATTCTTCAACAATCGCCTGATTCAGTTCAGATACACACACACACACACACACACACACAAAAAAAAAACAAAAACAAAAAACAACCCGACCTGTTTTGTAAATAAATAAGAAATATTTTTGGCGTGATGTGTAATATTTTATTTTATTTTATTTTATTTTATTTTATTTTATTTTATTTTATTTTATTTTCTATTCTATTTTATTTTATTATTTTATTTTTTTTCCTATATACTTATTCATTCATTTATTAGAAATCAATCTATTTTGAAAATAAATTATAAATCCTTTACTTGTTAATATGTCCTGTACGGGTAGGCTACTACACATGAATTTAAAATTTCCTGATATAAATCAAGCGTTAATTGAATTTACTCTACTTACACTATATTAAAGCTATACGAATTTTGGATAATAAGGAAATAATTGACAGAAAAAAATGATAAATCTAAATATAAAACTGTTAAAAGTTGTAATCTACGGCAATGGCTGTGGCGCGTCATTTTGACTCCATCGTGCGCCAGTAAGCTATTTATAAGATGTATTGAGGAGTAGAGAACTACTAATAGGCTATAAAAAATATTAACCTTCTATTTTTATGGCGGCAAAATCTGACAACGATAATCAGGTGGTGCTAATGACTAAAAAATAATTATCACCATCAGGAACTGCCGTATAAAAAGCAAATGAAGAAATAAGACAAAATAAACAATGAAAAATGGGATAGGACTAACTTACTGATTTTTCCCCATCTTTTTATTATATTTTATTTTTAAAATTAGATTAGAGGGGTTCCTTTCACTATATGTTTCAAAAAAATGACCGAGATAGCATTTTACTGTTATTGGCATTCTCAATGCCATTTTTTTGTAATATGTGTCGTAATCGTTATAATATTGGGTGGTTTATTAATGCAGCCACGAAAACTAGGTCTATAAAACCTTGTGATCAATGGGAGAGAACTCCACCGAGAATATGTTTTTCAGATTTTTTAAATAAAAGTTCTTTATTTTACTCAAGCATATTATGAAATACAATACGCCTATGGTCATAATACATTGCGTAGGAAATGCTTTCCTTTTTCCTGTTTGGGGATTTGGTCGTACTTTTGTGATTTTTGACTTGACTTGTTTGTATAATGGTGAGCCCCTCGTAGTTCTGTTTGGTTTTTATGTGGTTTCGTTCGTCAACACTTAATAATAGAGTGGGTATATCTTATTTTATATGACAACATCATTAATAAATAAATAAATTGATGCTTACATACATACATATATAAATAGCTGTTTGATTTTCGTTAAAAAAACGCTAATAGTATGACAAATTGATTAATTATTCTATAAATAGGTACGACTGATGATTAAACTAATTAAAGGGAGTAAATCTATATTACCAGTAGGCCCTGCGTCATAGCATTATGTTTAATTAGAGACCTAAACTAATAATTATAAACTAATTGAGTTATTCAATTAAATTTTAATATACATGTATGTATATATTTTTTAAAAAGATATCGAGAAAAAAACGCACCCAGAATGATAAACAATTAAATTAGCGTAATATTTTTTTTAAGGATTGTCTCTTTAATTAATAGTCGTTGGAGTTGTCTCCCCTACAAAAATGTCAGCCTCAAGCAAACGTTTTTTCTAACTCAATTTAACTTTATTGAAACAAAGTTATTATCCCATCAACATGGATTTATTTAAAACATTAGATCCAGACTTTGGTGAAGACTATAGTGATGAAGATATTGGTGCTGAAAGGTTAGCTTTCTTGACACTCATTCATGTATATTGTTTGTAAATAAAATACGATTGAACGTGATAGATAAAGCCCATAAATGAAGTTCGTTTTGTTAACGTTTCTTCTTCGTTAGATATAATTGGAATACAATTAGTTTTAATTAAAAGTAATAACTAGCTCGATTTATATAGAAACTCGACTGTGAGAGTTGTGTTGAAATTAATTCAGATTAGTCAAAATCAAAATCGGATATTTCGTCCTGTTTCCAATGAAATGGAGATGCCGACGGGTGATCAGTGGTGTTAAGCAATGTTACAATTGCTACAAAAGCCCCATTTGAATTAAATTATGTAGCCTACCGGTACTCGTGTTTGAAACTTTATCTCTACACTGCACTGGGTTAATGAATAATATGGGTTTGCAAGATCTAATTAATGGTCTACAATTCTACAATCATAGCTATAAGCAAATCTTGCAATGTACAATTTGTATTTACATAATAGCTACTTGTTCTTTTAGCTCTGAAGATGAAATTGATATTATACTTCACGGAACACCAGAACAGAAAAGAAAATTATACAAAAAAACTAACAAAAGAAGCAATTCCTCTAGTGAAGATGATTTTGAATCAGAAATGAACAAAGAGTTGCAGGAAACAGTAAAAACGTTAGAGTCCAGAAGATTATCTTTGTCTACGCCAGGTAACAAGATATTAGATTTAAATAGTACTCAATATTTATGGGATATCTATCACTGGTTTATTCTCAAAGCACAACGTTTCAACAAGTATCCTCTAATTGTTATCAATTGTGCTTGATAACGATAAGAGGATACTTGTTGAAAAGTCGCGCTTTTAGAATAAAACCAGTGATTGATTTCCAATTAAAAGTGTGTACTATTTAACCCTTGTGTGGAAACATAGCACGAAAAACATTGTCGGAAATAAGGCGTAATCCAAGACCCCAGACATAAATTGGTTTTTGAATGCATAATTTTATTCAAATACGATCAAAGACTGAATAATAATCAGTTACAGTAAAAAAAATGTTTGAGGTATTAACAGTGAGGATATGAATAATAAAGTATTTTTGAAACCATACAAATCTACAAATAACTTAATTGTCATTTCCATGTAGAATCGTCTTTTGATGAGGTTGGTAGAGTACCTAGATTTGCTTTAAGATCTAGATTACTAGAATGACCAACACAATATCATCAGTAAGAAAGATTCCAAATACAAAGCTAGCACCGAGCGCAGAACAGATTAGACTCTTGTAACCAGCAAAATGTTACAAGCTTAAGCTTAAGCAACTTGGAGAACAACCAGTGGGACAATGGCCAATTAGCAGTCACCAACAAGATGTTCAAATACATAATTCTTAAAGTAATATTGTATAAAATAATGTACTTGTTTCCTAGATCCATCACCATCTGAAGAAAAAAAAACAGAACAGAAAGATGAAGTGCAAGATGGTAAACAGTCAGATATTCAAAAATTTTATGATGACATATACTTTGATTCAGATGATGAAGACCAAAATGGTAGGCACTTATACAATAACATGACCATATGCAAATATCACAGAATAATATACACAACATAGTCAAACACTTGTTTCTTCTGTGAGAAACAAACAATACCGGTCGTTACATAAAACAATTGTTTTTTTAAATCCATTCAAATCTCTCTGTTGAGGAAAATATTCTTTAGAATTGTGCACAAATCATTACTAGAGCACTAAGGTGGCTACTATGAGAGTAATACAGGGTAAATTGGTCTTATATTAGATCAATGAATGTAAATTTTATGTACCCTAATGTTCATTCAAAGATAAAATAAACCACATTTTTTACAGTACCGTACTTATAGTAATAATTATATGTAAAATATTCAGCTTTAATCTCAATATTATTAATATTTAAATAAATACACATATTTAAACATGAATAATCTACGGCCTTCTTTAGTCTGCGATATTTAGTGGATTTGAATACATTTTGTGATTGATAATTTAACGCAAAAATAGATAACATTAGTAATGACGACCAAGGCTAGCCTAAAATTGAATCCCTAATATCTTGGTTGAGAGTGAAGCAATTTGACTGAAATTTTAAAATATTATAGCAAAAATGGCCAGCTCTTTATCTAAATATTACATAATGGTTCTTTAATGTAATATACACATAATAATATAATAATTTGACATATACATGTATTGAAATGTAATATTTTTTTATCAACAGAGTCCGAGACTACTACAAAGAAGAAGAAACAGAAGAATCCTGTATTATCTAATGACGATCTACTATATGATCCAGATATGGATGATGAAGATCAGGAGTGGGTTGATCAACAACGGAAAAATTGTCAGCCCAAAAACAAAAACACGGAGAAAAATAAAAACAAGTTACCACAAACAGATGCCATTTTAAACTGCCCCGCCTGTATGACAACATTATGCAGAGATTGTCAAAGGTAATATATATATATATATATATATATTCGTTATCACTATTGATTTTAAATCATTGTACATTTCATTCAGTTAATCAATATCAATTTTTATACGCCAACCTATGAGGTCACATGGTTTTTTCACCACTGCCTTACTGCCACTCAGTTAGTTTGTCTTACACAATTGCTTGTGGATGCTCTAGCTTGACTCAGATAATTATTGTGGAATCTCTATGGGCTAAAGTTATCATCCGATTGACTTGAAATTCATACAGATTGTTTCTGTTCATCATGTGACAAAATTGCCTGTAATATTTTCATCGATTTTGGATAACTCAAACAGATGTTTTGTTAATGTTAGCATTAAGAAGAACTAGAAGCAGATTAAATTACTTTGTTGGTTATTTTGTAAATATAAAACGTTTGAAGATCGCATTAAAAAGTATTCAGGTGATGATGAAAGCAAACTACCGGTAACTGAATTTTTACCAAGGACCTTTCTTGACCCTAAAAGGACAGTACAAGTCTGAGTTGCTCTTTAAATGTCCGAGGTTAGTTTTAGCCAGTTTGAAATGAAATGAAATGAAATGGAGTTTAACGTCCTACTGTTCTGCTCCTATACTGGGCTAATGAAGATGGGCATACGCCATACAGTGTGCTATGAGGGAAATTTTGCCTGGGCAGTGGCACTATCGCCTACTCTTATATCGAATTCCAACTGCCAGGGGATCTTTTACGTGCATTCCAATATATACACGGGACCTCGGTTTTTTCGTCTCATCCGAAGGACTAGACAGCTGTCCTTGTCAGGCCCTCCGTCCTGCATCACTGACAAGGGGAAACCACGTCGGAAAATCTAAAAACTTTCTCGGCCAATGCAGGGAATGAACACCCGACCTCCAGGCTAGCGAGCCAGCATCTTACCCACTTAGCCATGTGATAAAGTTTGACATTAAACTTTATATGTTCTCTTTTTAACCACAGGAAGAAAAGTTCTTGGAAATACTGATAAAAATTTTCTACTATCTAACGAATTGATAATTTTCATTTCAGACCTAAGAATGACTAAGAATTTTCTTTTGCGTAGGATCCAAATTTTCAAACTTTATTTGGTTTGTATTGAATTTGGGGTGAATGTAATTCTATTTGGTTTAAATTTGGTCACATCAGTGCGATGGACACCTTTACTGTTAACCCCTGTCATATTTTGCTATCAGTTGCTGTCTAACGATACATATGTATATCCAATTCTGTTGCTTTCTTTTTAGGCACGAGAGATATGCTAACCAGTACCGAGCCATGTTTGTTTCTAATTGTGATGTGAATATGTCAGAGACAATAGAATATCCAAAAGAACAAAATACAAGGAAAAGAAAAAGAACGAAAAAAAAGAAAACACCAGATCCAGATCTGGCTATAGAGACATGTTCTATAGCTGAAGATAATGATGTTTATCATCCTGTTAAATGTACTGAATGTGAGACTGTTGTAGCTGTGATTGATGTAGAAGAAATTTATTATTTCTTTAATGTGTTAGCTAGCTACTAGAACATGTGTTAGCTAGCTACTAGAACAGTATCATCTCATTAATTGTAAATGTGTATATAATCATAATTAAAGATATTAATTAATCAGAATGTGTTAATACATACAATGAAATTTGTGGTCTATGTGAACTCCTCTAATAAATGAGAATAAGAAGTGACACCAGTGTTCCAGCTTAGCTCCTCTAAAATAAAGACCCTTCTTCACACTATAAACCTCAGAATGCCTCGTTCGGCATTTTTGTCCAAACGTGTCAAAAACGTGCTAATAAAATTTTTGCCACAATTTTGCCACATTGTAACTGGTAAAAACAAAATGCCACGTTTGTCTGGAGTTCCAAAACGTATCTTTTTAAATTGCCATGTTTTTGGAACGAGATATTTTGACCAGAACGGGGCTGATCACAGGGTTGGATACATGATTTTTCAAAAGGGTTGGGGGTGGGGCGGGGGGGGGGGGGGATTGGGGTCAGCCAAACCAAAGTTTCGTTGAGCGTATCGAGGACAGCATAACATTATTTGGTGACACTTTCAAGCGATTATGTAGAGAAAAAAACACAAGGCAAAGTTGACTAGAAATGACATTCGTTGCACAAAAGAGTTTGTTACATTCTTTGTTGCAGTTTCATATGTTCACACATTATTTCCATCAAAGAGATGTGAGAAATGAAAAACAGCCAAGTTCTTTGTTGCAGTTTCATATGTTCACACAATATTTCCATCAAAGAGATGTGAGAAATGAAAAACAGCCAAGTTCTTTGTTGCAGTTTCATATGTTCACACAATATTTCCAACAAAGAGATGTGAGTAATGAAAAACAGCCAAGTTCAAAGCGTTGAGAACTCAATAATTGTTTTTAGGCCTTTGAATACAAATATTAATTACAAATATGCTGTTCCTTTTTTTATATAATAAACGATATTATATTTAATATATCTCATGAAATTTTATGTAATTGGCACTCAGTTGTATGAATAAAAATTGCAAAAGCAATTAAATTAAAATCCATCGAAAAATGAAATAGACACAATTTAAGTTTTGTATAAAGACATGCAAAGCGGGGCGATGTGAACAACTATATTAAAAATGATATTTACATTTACATCCTTCAGGTGACCGGCCTATGTCTGGATTCTTATATAAAGGGTCGATCTAGACTATATTTTGGAGAATAAAACTGCTTAATTTTGTGTTAAAAGCCATTAAAATCTTCTACCTTTGGACCGAGCAACTGAATCAATATACATGATACGTTTTCATCTTAAACCCGTTGTTTATTATATAAAAACAGGAACAGTATATTTGGTTTGGCTGAACCCCACGCCCAACCCTTTTGAAAAATCGTGTATCCAACCATGTGATCAGCCTTGTTCTGGACAAAATACCTCGTTCGAAAAACATGGCAATTTAAAAAAAAAATATGTTTTGGAACTCCAGACAAACGTGGCATTTTGTTTTTACCACGTTTCAACTTGGCAAAATAATGGCCCAAATTTTAATACGTTTTTGCCACGTTTGGACATAACTGGTGGGCATAACTATCACAACTATTAGAACTATCTGGTAGTTTTGGTTACATCAATTGGATGGCGAAGGGGGAGTGGATGGCTGAATGGTTAGCACATGCGCGCTGTATCATAAGGTCTGTCATTGAGTCAGCTGGCATGGTTTTTGATTCCCTCCTTGTTCATCCCACTGCTAAAACCCCTGCTAAAACCCCCTATGCGCAAGCAAATTATTGGAATAAAATTGAACCATGTGTTAGTCCCAAAATGATCTAGTTTAGGCTATGTCGAGTGGACGTTTAAACCCCATTTCTCTCTCTCTCTATCTGTCTCTCTCTGGTGACATCATTAATGCATTCTTTAATGAAGGGTAGCTTTTGAACGGGGGCACTTAGAATTTTGATAAATGTGGATCCGATTAACTGTCAACCTTTTGTTAGACAATAGAAACAGATTGACGATCACCTTTAAATTGAAAATGCATAGCGATCAAAAATAAACCGTGTGCTCCGAATGGATCGTTAAATAGAGTTATCCCCCTTGTGATAGTAGACGAATTTTGTTTGCGATTGAGCATAAAACACATTATAATTATAAACAACAAACAGGTAAATCGGACGTGATTTATTAATTGTAAGTGTTTGTTCCATGAAAATAAGAGGTAGAGAACTGAAAGAGGTTCTCTGTGGAACTTTTTCCGACGTACTCAAGTTGCACTGTCTGAGACCAAGAAGAAAGTAGCCGTGACTGTGAAAAGGTTATTTTATAATCATGATAGGCTAATATAAAGGATGTCAATGATTCACCACTTATAAATACTTGAATAACATGTGTTTTTAATGATGTCAAAAAGAATATATAAAATGCTGTGTAGCATTCCATTTTTTGGAGTGGTACCTTATTAATAAAATAGCTAAGTGGGTATACATGCTGGATCGGAGAGGTCGATCTGGTGTTCGATCCTTGCAATTTCATTGGCCGAGAATTTAAAGTTAATCCAGATTTCCAGCGAGGTCCCCCTTTGTCATTGCGGAGGGCCTGACAAGGACAGCTGTCTAGTCGATCGGATGGTACAAAAAAACAAGGTCCTGTGTACACATTGGCGTGCATGTAAAAGTTCCCTTTTTGGAATTCGATATAAGAGTAGGCCTATAGGCTGTAGTGCCGCTGTCCGGGCAAAATTTCCCTCATAGCACACTGTATGGCATATGCCTGTCTTCATTAGCCCAATTCGGAGCAGAACAGTAGGACGTAAAACCCCATTTCATTTCATTTCATTTATTAATAAAATAAGAGTACTATTACTAAAATAGCACAGTTCATTCAGGCAGTTACTGACTTTGGGCAGTTACTGAGTTTGTTAGGCAATTGGCTGAAGATTATGGAATAGACAGATATCAGAAATGACAGAATTACCCAATAGTTCAAACATTTTTTAATGTAATTAGTTAGACCTACTTTACACGGAAGGAAAGTGTCACAATCATTGAATTACTATTCTCCTGTTTCGCTTCCTTCTTGCAAAGTGTATGACAATGTGCTAAATAATTACGTACTAAGCTGTGTGTATGATTCCTGTCCAGGCCCTATTGAATTGATAATAATAGCATTGATAGTTGTTCAGTAAGTGTGAAGGCTCTGTAATTTTAAGCATTCTGACAGCTGAAATGTCAGATCAAACCTATTGACTAAGCTTATGTAGTTACAGGATAAATGAATGGTGCACATAAATGATCCCTTGACAGTTTGAATTTAATATAAGAGTAGGCTGTAGTGCCGCTGTCCGGGCAAAATTTCCCTCATAGCACACTGTATGCGGTGTATGCCCGTCTTCATTAGCCCAGTTTGGAGCAGAACAGTATGACGTTACACCTCATTTCATTTCATTTCATTAAAGTTATATGGTTTTTAATTTCAGATTAGACACTATCAAATCACTTCCAGAGTAAATATGGATACAATATCACCATTGACATCATTAGGCCGATTTTATATCTATGCTATACATGGTTATGCCACTGAAGTAATGTTTACAGCTATATGGGAGTTTGTTGTTAATCTAAACTGGAAGTTTCCAGGAAATACTAGTGTTTGGTCTTTTCCTATGTATGGTCTTTCCTTATTAATGGTGGAATACCTTTATCTTAGACTTCGCCACAACACACCAATATATGTACGTGCACTGATTTATACAATATGGACATATCTTTGGGAATTTAGCACTGGATACGTTTTGAAATATTTTGATGCCTGTCCATGGGATTATACTCCATTTGAAGGAGATTTTATGGGACTAGTGACTTTGGAATATTTTCCTTTCTGGTATTTTGGAAGTATATTTTTGGAACAAGTTATCATAAAATATACTAGGCGCCTTTATTTTGGTCCATCATCGGACATATTTGAAGCCGATAAAAATGGTAAATTGAAGCAGAAATGATACAACCGCCATGACACATAGTTGAAGATGATCAATACAACCCTTATGATAAGACATTTGAATTTTAAAATGCATATTTTGTTTGTATCATAGAGCACACACATTTCTAATCTACATTTTATTTTGGTGAGATAAAAACAATCACTGGTTATTTTTGTGTAGGTTAAAGGTCTCAAGTGAGAAAATAAGTTATATCTGAAAGTGTTAGCATCAGGAATTTGAGCAGGGGGCAGGGTTGAGACAAAGTACAGTTTAGCACAAAGTCTGGTAGATTACTCAGGATTTTATAAAAGCAGAAGCTCTGAGACAGTATTTCTACTCAGTTAGGTGCTTACAGTTACATGTACAGGATTAGAGTGGAGTGTCAATGCTTTGCATGTTTGTTTATTCGACGTTTCGATAAATGTAGGGAAATAAATATGCTGTATGTGACTCCTCAGCTTGGTTTGCTTTATCAATATAATATGCAATGTCTCACTTGAAACCTTTAAATACCGATTACACTATCATGCATGTGCATTTCTATGAAATCTTCATTTGACCGCTATTTTCTATAAATAGTGTAATTAGTAAACGCCGACATCACATCTGTATTGTATAGAAGGAATAAATGAAATGCAACTGGAAACGGCGACGACAAGAAAATTAAATAGTGTACATTGGCTAGTGCTCACTTTGAAGGGTAATTTTAAGAATTCCAATTGTAAGGGTGTATATTCATCAATAGTGGTCAAATTTTAATTCATATTACAAGTACAGCAGATTCTAATTGAGGTAATCAAGTACAAAAAAAAAGCAAAATGGAAACAATAGTTAATGGAATTCACAATGATGAAGGTCTCCCTCATGTAAATCAAATGATACACATTTCAACTTGTGTGAGAGTTAAAACAGGCATTTCAGGATAATCAACTTAATAATCGGTGTAATTTACTGATTAATTTTATTTGATTGTTTTTGTTAAAACTAGATATTTAATGTTGTAAAAGGGCTACAGGGCATCATGCATAATCATAGTGGATTCAGATTTCATAAATGCATTATTATATTAATATGGGCGCTTGATGTGTTTATCAAAAAACATGACAGTATTTTTTTTTATACAATAATCAATACAAGTTATTACTTTTTTCTTTTATCCAGCAATG